TACAGGTGAACGTCTGGAGCCCACACAAGAATTAGATGCCTTGGGCAACCAACCAAGGAGAATGGATTTTGTATTTCCTTATTCTAAATAACCTTCCCCAGCCCAGGATCACAGCTAAGGCTTATGGGCTATGGGTTCACACCCACAGCCTGATCTTTGGGGACTGTGACCTGATTGCCAGGGCAGGTAAGCTAGTCCCGCCTGTCAGTGTCTCCTGTCCCTGGGGGTCCCCCAGTGGCTGTACCAGCTGGAACCGTCCACCTCCTGGGTCTCCCTTCCACCTTCTGGGTCTCTTACCCAACCAGACTACCCCTAGGAATATTACCAATATTCAGGCCCCAGAACCTTGTGGGGATTCACAGCCCATCCTCTCCCTTGTAGGTGGATGATTATGGTGTCTAGACACTCCTATAACAGAGAAACATCTTCAGCAGTTAACATGATGTCATCAATGTAATGAAGCCAAGCAACAACATCAGGGAAGGGGAAAAGAGTCAGATCTCTAGCCACCATATCATGGCAAATAGTGGGACTATGTAAATATCCTTGGGGAAGCACTTGAAATGTCCATTGCTGCCCTCCCCCCAGGTGAAGGCAAACTGGTCCTGGGCAGACAGGGTAAAGAGATGCTAAAGAATGAATTGGTCAGATCTAGCTCAGCATGATATTTGCCCAGGTCTATACTAAGGGTTTCTAACAAAGAAGTTATGCTCAGAACTGCAGCAAGATAGGAGGGATCATTTGTTATGTTCCCTATAGTCCAGAGTCATCGCCAAGACCCATCTGGTTTCTTCACAGGCCACACAGGGCTATTAAAAGCACTATGGGCCTCCTCGAGGATACCTACTTTTTTCATTCCAAAATAGTTTCACTAATTTCCTTAGGTACCCCAGGAAACTTATATAGCTTGATATCTACCACTCTTCATGGTGGGGGCAGGGTCACTGTTTCCCATGCCATGTTCCCCCTCAGGACTGCCTTTACCATCCTACTCACAGTCAGAATTCTCCCACAGATGTGGTCAAAGTCAGTCCCATATGGACATCCACTCCTAGAATGTATACTGGTAAAGGGGAAATATAAACTTGATATGGTTTAAGGGGAGTTTGTCCTACTTGCAGAGTCAGAAGTACCTGGCATAAGTGGATAGACTTTCTGCTGTACCCATCAATTGCCAAGGGGTTCCCTTAAACTGCTCAGGGTTTCCAAACACACGGGTGCACTCTGCCCCGGTATCAACCAGAGCTAGCACTCACTGCTTGTTTGTTCTTGACCAATGTATTGTGACCTCTACATAGGGCCTCTGGTCCCCCTGCAGGGCCCTGACCTGCAGGTGACCTTGCCCCAACCCCAGGGCTGGGTGGGGTCCACCCAGCAGCAAGGAGCACTTCCTCAAGCTGGGCAGTAGGACCCAGAGGGTCCACTTTCAGATCCTTTCAAAGGCTAACCAAAACCTCATTTGATTGCTTATCTATCTCTTGCACTGCCAGAATGGCAGCCACTAAGTCCACCCATATCTGCCTTCGGGTCACTTTCAAGGGGCCCCTGGATGGTCATTTCACAGGTTTCTCAGTCTTTTTTTTTTTTTCTTTTCCCACAACTAGCACCCCCTTCTCTCTAACCTTCTTGGTTTCACTCAAATCAGCAATGGCTCATCCCACCTGATACACTGTCTGGCCCACTAAGGGACTAACAATAGCTGCCATATGCCAAACCAGGAGGGAGGAGCCGTAGTTTGCAAGATTCTTGCTTTCATTCGTGCAGTAAAAAGTTAATTGAATGGCCCCAACCCTGCCAGGAAGATTCCCCTCATTTGGCCATGCCCTTCTGCAACACAAGATGATCACTCTCTGAGGTCGCGTTTGCCCTCTGTGCTCTCAGCTGCATGTAAATGCCGCTGGGGGGTGGTGGATGGTTATACTGCTCATTTTCTCAGTATCAGCTCCATTTAAAGAGACATGTCTCCCCCGATATCCCACAGATGTAGTAACAAAGCTGCAACGGTTTCCTTCCCTTTCTGCTGGAGTTTTCCACACAACTCTGTCAGCTTTGTAGGGGTGTACTTCCGGGTTGTCATGGAACTGACTGGTGGTATTTTGTGTCTGATAACATTGGTTTCCTAGGTAGCTTTCATCTTATGAGTAATGCGCCGCCAAGTGAGGGACAGGGGGGCCTCTGCACTGTCAGACTCCTCCTCCACTATCACTTCCACATCCAATTCACTGCTTGATCCACTCTCATACAAGTTCCAAGTTTTATATCCCAGTCACCTGTCATCAGCACTGCCCTAATCCTTGCTTTTGGCAGTTTCCTTCCTCTCAGCTTTACAAACTTGCAGGTGATCATCTCTAATTGGTCTTCCTGCTCTCTGACACAGCTACCTAATATACCAGACACTGCCACACAGGACTGGTGAACATCTCTTTCTAACAGCAGCTCTTCCTGGAAGGCTCTTATGTGCACTTCAGCAGCTAGCTGGACCTCCATGGCCAGCCAAATGGCCCAGAGCAGTGGCCATCCCACAGCCACCACTACTCTCCTAGCTTTCTTTCCACACTTATGAAGGCACACATATTCCCACAACTGTGCTGTACTGCATGGCATTTTCTGGGCATCCCCATACTCATGAGTGGGCTGCATGTATCAAACATATGGTCCAGACCTCCTCACATGGAGGATGCTGGCCATCCAGGGATTTCTGCTGTTATGGATTGAATTGTGTCTCCCAAAAATGTGTGTCAACTTGGCTAGGCCATGATTCCCAGTATTGTGTGATTGTTCACCATTTTGTCATCTGACGTGATTTTCCTACGTGTTATAAATCTTACCTCTATGATGTCAATGAGGCAGGATTAGACGCAGTTATTAATGAAGCAGGACTCAATCTACAAGATTAGATTGTATCTTGAGTCAATCTCTTTTGAGATATAAAAAATAGAAGTGAGCAGAGAGACAGGGGGACCTCATTACCACCAAGGAAGAAGAACCAGGAGCATATGCTCCTTGGACCCAGGGTCCCTGAGCTGAGAAGCTCCTTGACCAGAAGAAGATTGATGACAAGGAACTCTCCCCAGAGCTGGCAGAGAAAGCCCCTAGAGCTGGCACCTGAATTTGGACTTCTACCTCCTAAATTGTGAGAGAATAAATTTCTATTTGTTAAAGCTATCCACTTGTGGTATTTCTGTTATAGCAGCACTAGATAAATAAGACACCCATGAATGCCTCACTCCCACTTGCCATTTCTTCAGTCTCCTAGCTGACTAACCAATTTTCCAGGCGTGGGCCAGTAACTTGATATTTGCCTCCAAAATTGGAGGGTGATGAGAGACCAAAGAAAGAGGCAGGCAACTACAGTGTGGAGGCAAAGAGTCTTTATTAGAGAGAATTACATCCCGAGGTAGTGGTCTCGGGCATCAAGAGAACCAAGGCAGATCTCCACACCCAGCTGCAGGAGGGTGGACAAGCTGCAGGAGGGTGGAGGTTTTCTAGTGGTCAAGGACAAAGGTAGCTGCATGCCAGAGGGTTGCATAAGACAACCTCAGCAAGCTCACATAACAGGAGCTTAAAAGAGCAGTGAACTAACAGAAACAGCAGTGAACTAGCAGAAAGCATGAGGGCAGCCATGTTCAGCCATGAAAGCCCTGTTTTCCACTTCACATGTATTCTTCAAGGCAAATACCTTAATACACAAATCTGATAAGTATAAAAAAAGAAAATCATATGTTAAACTCAGAAACAGCCTTTGATTCTGTATTCTGTCAGCTTTCATGAAAATGTAATCTTATCCATCTCTCTGAAATGAGAAATTAAATAAAACTGCCCTGTTTTCCTCTTTCCTCCTCCAAATCTGGAGCATCCTCTTCAGTGGTGTTTTATCCAGTTTTAAATATTACTCAATTTTTATTTTCCACAATTGTTTTCAAAATAAATTTCAAATCACATTTTAAATACTAAATTTCCATTGTGTTTTAATGTGGATACAAATTACTTGTGAGTAAATTTTGCTAAAGGAAACTAATGGAAATATATAAGGGCAGTAAAATAAAAAAAATTATTGAGATTATATAGCAATCTGGAAAAGATTTGTTATGAAAGTGGAAAGTCGGGATATACATTAGGATCTATGTACAAATACCTGAGCACACTGACAGAAGACAAGCAAAAGCTAAAGCTGGCATTGCTGGGCATTGGGATTGAAGAAGTTAGTTATTTCTTGTTTAAATTATCCATATTCCTGCTGTTATGTTGTGTGATACATAAAGCTCAGGTTGAAAGGTAAGAATAATTAGCTCAAATGCCTGGAAGAATTCGGACTTCCCAGAACCTTAAATGAACCCTTCCCCTGTTGGACATAAAGAAATTCACAGGACATCAGTATCAGACAAGTTCACTCTGTGACCATGACGGATCAAGAAAAAACAATTGTTCAAGTAATAAACAAGCAATAACCATTGTCCAAGCCTCAGAAATGACCAAATATCCCCCTTCCTGGATGATATTAGTGATGGCTGATTCCTTACCACTTACAGCTTCTGCCTCCCTCTAGTCTTCATCCTTCTAGATAAGATATTGACATGCCCAATAAAAACTAACCCTGCTTTCAGACAATATCTAATCCAGATCGAAGCCCTGATTCCTTAAATCCTCACCAAAATCAGCTCACACTCAAATCCTATAAGACCTTTCCAACACCCTCCTACTGAGAAGTCCTAAGGTTCCCCATTGAGTGTGTTCTTTCTTGTCGTAATGTGTAATAAACACAATAAACTAGAGGTATATTGCTATTGGTTTTGGATGGAGGGCATTGGCAGTTAGAATAGTTCAGACGTTTGGTAAAAGTATCTCTCTTTCCATCTTTAACTTGAAGAGACTGCATCAAGAGTTTCGCTCTCCCAAGACAAATACATGGATGGACAACTGCTGTGTTTAAGAGAATAGGAAGAAAAAAAAAGAATTTTTTTGCAAACTAGTCTACTTTATGACACTCAGAGTCCATGTCATTATTGAACACAAAAAATTTTCATAGAAATCACTTTTTTTAGGGCACCTTTCAAATCCTTGTTCCTCAGGCTGTAGATGAAAGGGTTCAGCATGGGGGTCACCACTGTATACATCACAGCAGCCGTGATGTCTTCCTTGGTTGAATGGGAAGATGAAGGGTTGAAATACACAGCAATGATGGTGCCATAGAACAGGGAAACCACAGCCAGGTGAGAGCCACAGGTGGAGAAGATTTTCCATTTTCCCTTAGTGGATGGAACTCTCAAGACAACACAGATGACACAAATGTAGGAAACCAGGATACAAACAAATGGGGTGATCATTATCAGGGCCCCCTCAGTAAGAATCATCATCTCATTGAGGTGTATATCAGAGCAGGAGAGTCTCAGGAGAGGAATCAGGTCACAGAAGAAGTGGGGGATCATGTTGTCTGCACAGAATAAGAGTTGACCCATCAGTAAGGTATGCAATACAGCATTCAGATTGGCAATGACCAACGACCCAGTGACAAGCAGGGCACAGAGCTGAGGGGTCATCTTTGATGTGTAGTGTAAGGGGTAGCACACAGCAACAAACCGATCATAGGCCATCACAGCTAGGAGGAAATTGTCTATGACCACGAACACAATGAGAAAATACATCTGCGTGAGACACCCAGTGAAGGAGATGGTCTGACTTCTGAGTATGTGATTGGCCAGCATCTTGGGGACTATCGTGGAGGAGAAGCAGATGTCCATGAAAGACAAGTTGCTGAGGAAGAAGTACATGGGGGTGTGCAGGTGGGAGTCTGTGCTAATGGCCAGGATGATGAGCAGGTTTCCCAGGACTGTGGCCAGGTACATGGTTAGGAAGAGCATGAAGAGGAGCTCCTTCTTCTGGGGCTGCCTGGAGAGCCCCAGAAGGAGGAACTCAGAGACACTTGACTGGTTTGCCCCACTCATAGGCACAGACCCAAGTTAATACACAACAGCAAATTCAGAAACCTATACCTGGATGAATAAAATGTGATAAATTAAGCTCCAGACTAAGACATGTTTGCAAATCAGTTAATGGAGTTGCTAAGATGAGATCTGTCCACTCTACCTACACTCCCAATTTCCCACACTGTATCCTTATGCTATTCCTACTAGACTCACTGACTCTTATTTTGTATATTTAACATTGGGAAATATACAGGAATATACATAGCCCAACTGTGTAACTATATGTGTCTCTGCTTACATTTTTCAGTTCCCAACCCCAATGCTTTTATAGCTCATAAAGAAAAAAGAAACAACTGATTACTACTGGGTTTATCTCAAGGTCTAGGTGATGAATTCAGGACTTCTACTATGGATACCTTGACCCGGAAGATTTAGCAGAAGGAGTTCCTAAAAGAACTTCATATCTTAAAAAACAAATATTTATGTCTCCTTTCCTGTAATCTTACCTGGGGGAGGTTGGTGATGTAGTGATCAACTTTTCTTCACCTCTGCATATCTGGCCAATGCTTCTCTTTATGGTGAGAATTGGAAAGTCTTGGAAATATAGGCAGGTCCTGAGCATATGAGGAGCAGGGGTTCATAGCCTTGGTCATCCTCTCTGCAGAAAGGATGTTTTGGGGGGAATCACAGAGCAAGCATTTATAGGCATCTCCATGGCCACTGGGGCCACACTCTCTGAGAGCCTCATTAGAGACAAGAACAGAGTAATTGTCCCACCTACCATTTGCCCCTTTGGAACAAATAACAATGACATAGAATATTACCTAACTTGTGGGTCAAAACTTGGAGATGAAACCATCTTGGTGGATACAAGTCCGAAACAGAATTCCCTGGGATCTCAAGTCTCATCACCTTTCTGATCTAGGCTTAAGTCTATTGGTTTGGAAATTCAGTTATTAAAATATTTTTTTCTTATTTTCTTAGCTCTGAAACTTGAGTTATTGCCATGTTATCTGTGTAAATTTTTTTTCCTCATGTCTGGTCATCTACTACATAGACTGAGTGATGCCTTTGCCAATGAGGACACTGCATTATAGAGTTTTCCCTAATACTTGAAAGCATTTCATGTGAAGGATAATCAGCTTTTAACAGGGGTTTAGGAGAGATATCAGGAAGAGGATAGCATGCCATGATTGAGGAACTCTGGGCTCCTGGAGTAGATTTCTCTTAGGATGTCTTCCCAACTCACAACAGGTAACCCTTTTCAGAGAATGCCCCCCTAATCCATAGATCCACAAGGGTGTTTTACTTTTTTCTTTTCAAGCTTTATATTCTCATGGTAGAAAATCCAAAAGAATGCAGACAACTGCAGTAGAAGGCTGTACAGGGCACACTGAGAGCGTAAACTGAGCCATTCCATTGGGATGGGTGGAGAAGATTAAAGAAAGACTGGAGTTTTAAACACTAACAGGTACTTCTCAGGAAAGGGAGGTCTCTGAGAAGAAAGAGGTTTATGAAGATATTTAGGCAGAAGGAAGTAAGTGTGGCCATTAGGTAACCTAATCTATTGGAGAACAGCATTCAGATTTGACGATAGAGTGTGTGGATTAGAGCAGAGAAAGAAAGGCATGGAGCAGACAGCAGATCATGACATCCCTGAAAGGAGGGTGATGGTGCAGTCTCATTTGCCTGGCATGGTCCTGATTTATCCTTTAATAATTGTTACATGTCCTTTTACAAAGTCGTGGTTTGGATGATAAATTATATAGTTGCCCCACAATAAATCATATTAAGAAGTTTGGAGTTTATCCTGCAATCAGGGGGAGTGCCTTCAAAAATTAAAATCCCAGGGACAATGTGATCTGATTTGCATTGTGGAGTGATCCCTGTGACTGTACTGTGGTGGGTAGAATCAGAGAAGGAAAACTCTGAGGCAGGGACCAATATGAAGTGTAACAGACCAGCCAGAGGTGAGCCCCTGAAAGACGGCAAACGTGAGGAATAGGGAATATCATGAGGGATGCTAAGGAGGTAGGACAGAGTAGAACTGCCCCATAGGATTTCCAAGACTGTAATCTTTTTTTACTTATTGAGCTTTAAGTGAAAGTTTACAGTTCAAGTTAGTTTCTCATACAAAAATTTATACACACATTGTTACGTGACCCTAGTTGCTCTCCCTATAATGTGACAGCACACTCTTCCTTTCCACCCTGGAATTCCCGTGTCCATGCAATCAGTTCCTGTCCCTTTTTGCCTTCTCATCTCACCTCCGAACAGGAGCTGCCTATTTAGTCTCATGTATCTACTTGAGCTAAGAAGCACTGTTTTCACAAGTGTCATTTTATGTCCCATAGTCCAGTCTAATCTTTGTCTGAAGAGTTGGCTTCTGGAATGCTTTCAGTTCTGGGCTAACGGAGAGTCCAGGGGCCATGTCTTCTGGGGTCCCTCCAAGACTGTAATCTTTTCGTTTGTTTGTATTTCAAATTTTCAAATGTTGGTTTTATTTTCTTGTTGTTGTTGAGAATATACGCAGGAAAACATACACCAATTCAACAGTTTCTACATATACCATTTAGGGATATTGATTACATTCTTTTTATTTTATTGTTTTACTTTAAGTGAAAGTTTACAATTCATGTTAGTCTCTCATAAAAAAATTTATACATACATTGTTATGTGACCATAATTGCTCTCCCTATACTGTGACAGCACACTCCTCCTTTCCACCTCTGATTTCCCAGGTCCATTCAACCAGATCCTGACCCTCTCTGCCTTCTCCATCTCACCTCTGGACGGGAGCTGCCCATTTAGTCTCTTGTATCTACCTGAGCTAAGAAGGACACTCTTTTTTTTTTTTTTATTGTACTTCAGGTGAAGGCTTACAGAACAAATAGTTTCTCATGAAAGAGTAGTACACATGTTGTTTTATGACATTGGTTAACAACCCCACAACATATTAACCCTCTAAATTCTCAACCTTTTT